CACCAGCTCCCAGAGACTAGGGGGCCATTCTGCAGGAAACAGGGCTCTGTAGTTGCAGTGGATTTTACTCCCTACTGGGACCAACAGAGTCTCAGACGAAGGGGTAGCTCAACCAAAATGGGCGAACCTCAGTGAAGGGCATGGGTGTTCCAGGCCAACCCTGACATTCATCCGGACCCCCAGGTTCACAGCTGAGGCACAGCGGCAGCGACGGCCCTTCACCTACCTACCCTTTGGGGCCGGGCCCCGGAGCTGCCTGGGGGTGCGGCTGGGGCTGCTGGAGGTCAAGCTGACATTGCTCCACATCCTGAGCAAGTTCTGCTTCAACACCTGCCCTGAGACTCAGGTGAGGGCAGTGGCTCTGGGGCGGAGGTTACCCCATTCCTGGAGGGGTCTCAGGCTATGCATGGAGGACAGGGTTGGTGCCAGTTTCTTAACCTCCTTGGGGCCTCAGTTTCTCCATCTGTGAATTGAGAGGATGTGAATAACGCCCTCTACCTCCTATAGTCACGTGTGGCTATACTGACAGGGATGGGGGGCCACGGTGACTGCTCCCTACACTCCAGGGCTGGCCTCGAGTCTTCCACAGTGTGTGCCGCTTGGCAGGGTTTGCAGTGCTTGGCTTGTCCTCCAGATGTCCTGGGGACATCCCCTCAGGTCTCCTGCTGGAGAAGAGGAAGGGGTGCCAGCTACTTGGAGGGTGCTCCTCCCAGCTGCCACCAGCCTTGCCTTACCCCACTCTCCTGTGGTCAATGTCCCACGCTGTGCCACACCTTCATTCCTGAGGTCCTGGAGAAGCCACAGACCCTCCCTCACCTAGATATCTGGGCCCTGCTGAGACGCACCCCCATTTCTGGGTCCTAACCCCCCTCACACCACACACTTAGGCCCAGAGGTGAGTTCTACTATTCCCACCTTCAGACGATGGGAGCTCAGGAAGGAGGAGTCTGAACTGTAGGCAAGGGACACACAGGGGACAATCCTGCTGGGTCCTCCACACACAGCCTGATACAAGGCCCATGGCAGGTGCTCATACATTTATTCAATAGACACCAAGGAACAGACAAGCAGCCAAAGAGGGAAGAAGCCGAGATTCAAACCCAGACCTGCTTGTGTCCAGAAACTGCTTCCTGCAAGGCCCAGCCGTCTCTCTCACACACCTAGGACCATCTGCTCCTATCATCAGGAGCCCTGCACAGCTGCATACCTGCATGAGAGATGTGTGGGGACAGAAAGGGACCCAGTGACACAGATGGTTCTAGATTCTGAGACTGGCAGTGCCTGTGACAAACAGAGGAACTTGGCCAGGCTGCAGTCCTGAAGGAAGCATGGTTTTGGAGTGAGAAGGTTCAAGAACCAGAATGGGACACATCCACCAAGTGTGATGGGCTAGGATGTGGAGGGGAGAGAGCACGTGGGGAAGGACAGGACAGGGAGGGGCAGGGAAAGGTATTTCTTCTGGAGGACATCAGACCCAAACATCCAGAGCAATAACCTCAACACTGCTTACACCTGGCCCTTCCCAGCTCAAACAGCAGCCCTGAGTCCTCAGAGTCAGCCAGACCCCAGAACTACTGAACTCAAGATGGCGATTAGCCTATGCATTCCCCACCCCACCTCCTACTCCAGCAGGGTTTCTTTCCTCTTGCTTGAAGTCATCCCTCCTAGGTCTTGCCCCTCCCCAGCCCCAGCCTCCACAGGGTCCTACTCACATGGCTTCATCCATCCCTGTCCCCACTCAGGCCAGCTCCTCCTCAATTTCACCATCCCCACCCACCTCTCCTTTGGTTTGAACTCAGCTAGACAGGTGCTGTGCCTGTAGCTCCACGTGGCTATTGATAATTATAACCAAATCAGTCAAAGCCTCAGGCCCTCCCTTGGCTTGGTCCCACTCAGCGCTCCCTGCCCAGGCTCAGGTTTCTCCACAAAGTCCTGGTCACCAGTCTGATATAACCCACAAAGGCCTCTGAAAACGCCTGCAAGGCCCTTCAGGTAACCTGGCTGGTGCTTCACATCAGCCACTGCATTGCCATTTGACCCACACTCTTGAGTAATTCTCTGGCTTGTCTTCAAAGTACCCCAGGCCATCATGGCCTCTACCTTTGAGGTCAGCCAGGGGAGACCAGACCACAGTGCCAGTGGGCAATGCGTGGCACGGGGTCACTCTCCCCAAAGCGGGGGCAGTGATAGGCCAGGGACAAGCAGGGTGACAAAGTGGCAAAGAACTTTGCTCTCTTGTGCTCCAGCTGTGTGGCCTCCCTGAGCCTCCTGGTCTTACCCAGCCTTCATGGATAAAACAAACAGCCCAGACGTGCTTGCCTGTGGTATTTGACACACCTGGGCAAAAGATGCTAACCTTATTAACCATGTGTGGTTGAGTCCCCATGCCCATCCCGAGGCAGCTCTGCTGGCTTCTCAAGGAGCTGTGTCCCACCCCCCAGCCACCCCGGGAGTCTCCTTTGCCCACTCCTTGCCCAGCTATCCTCAGCCCAGATTTCACAAACCCTGCCTCAGGCCTGGCTCTGAGGAAATCTTCCGCGAGATATGGTTGGTTTTGACTATTTTAGTTTCCTCTATTTTAGGTACCTCTGCAGCTAGAATCCACATCTGCTTTAGGTCCCAAAAATGGTGTCTACATCAAGCTTGTACCTCGATGAAGAAGGCAGCTGGGGAAGAGAAGGCAGTTCACGGCTGTGAAGTCTGTCAATCAGTGTTTCCAGGGCACCCAGGATTCAAAGAAAACCCTTAGTGATGCGAATGAAGAGAGGGTGCCTGGAGTGCACACAGAGAAGAGGTTATTGATATGATCCCCAAATGCTTAATAAACATTCATCACACTTAGTTTTGACGTTGCCAGTGACACTGCTATTAATCCAAGTTAGACTGTGGATAAATAGGCAAAATGTAGTTTTGAAAAAATGACCAAGAACATAATTCTCACAGGAATTATGGCTTCAGGATGGAAGGATTGTACAATGCAGGGGACATTCAGGTGACCCTGTCCTGAGGGAACAGCATGGAACTTTCAGAGGATGGTGCTCACCAGACGCGGCCTAGAAAGTGGCTGCAAGCTTTATGCTCTGGTCCTCCCAGGTTGGGCCCTATGACATTTTGGTAAGTTCTGTGTGTTCTTTCTTCCAAAGAGGTCTCTCTTAATTTGATCAAGGAATCAATTTATACAAGTGAGTTAGTAAAAGTGATGGTCTTGTAGAAGGTCACATTCACCAAAGCATTTGCCAGCTGGGTCCCAGATCTTCCCCCTGGCAGCTGCTGGTCTTTTCACCTGTTTCCTCACCTGTAAAACAGGGCAGCTGACCTAGCAAAAAGATGCCATCCTCTTCTATCTGGCATCAGAGCACACAGGCCAGAGTGCCCTGCAGACAACAACCTTAGCAGGATCCACCAGCCCTTTAGGTAGCATCCAGATGTCTCCAGATGACACCTTTAGATGATTCAGGACAGCTGCAGACTTCAACATGGACTGCTGAGCATAATGCTCTGTGGTCCTTCCCATGTCAAGCCCAGAGCGCCTGTACTCCCCCAAACCTCCCCCAGAGGGGCTCTTGCTCACACCCACACTGTCCTAGCCCTGTGAACCACGGCTACTGCACTGAGGGTCAGGCGCCGTCCCACAGCCCTGTCCACACCCTCACTGCCGCCATCCATGCTCCACAACTGGACTCTCCAGGGAAACCATACAGGAGCCCAGCTTCCCTCCCTATGGCCTGCCTGGCCCCCAGCCCGACCACTCTATAGGCACCACACCACCTCAGCCTGCAGAAGGGTCCAGCCCAGCACTTCACTCCCTGCCAGGAGCACAGCCACCACAGCCCTCAGGTTACTGCTCCACCCCCGGCCCATCCTCTCCACCTGGCTGCCCCTTTCTGTGCCCAGGTGGCCACCATCCACACATGTACACACACACACACACACACACACACACACATACAGCAGGCCAAAGACGACCAAAAATCAATGAGTGGACTTGGAGGGCTGGGCACACTGTGAAGAGCATGGGGCACACTGAAAACCACACCTTCTGCAGCCACGTATCTGGCCCCGTTGGCAGGTCCGCTAGTATGGTTGCTGCCTGCTCTTCTAGCCAGACTCCCCTCTGGCCCGATCACACTGCCCTGTGCAAGGTTTCCAATCGCTTTGAAGACAGAAGACTAGTCAGCTGCCTTGGAACCGAACACAGAGGACACAATGGACACAGAGCACCAAGTGGACATCCTTACTAGATGTCTGCTCCTCTAACTGGGCCACAACCAGCCAGCACCTAGGAAGGAGATGGCTGACAGTCTGTGACACATTGTTTATGGGTGACTCCCCTCTGTGGGGCTGAAACTGAGTTGAGGAAAAGAGAAAGCAAATACATAATTTGCAAACTTGAGCAAAACATACGTGACAATATTGCCTAGGCTCCTACTAGGGCCTTAAAAGGGGATCCACAAAGCTGGCCATGTGGTGCACGCCAGTAATCCCAGCACTTGGGAAACTGAAACAGGAGGATCACCTCGAGTTCAAGGCCAGTCTAAACTGCATACCAAGACCCTGTTCCCCCTCCAATAAAAGGGGCGGCCCAACCTGCAGCTTTGTGACAAATCCCCACAAAGCCCCACTGAAGCCAGCAACACCATCCCTGCTGTGGTCTGAGTGTTTCTACTCCAGTGTCTCAGGCTGGATTCCTCCCCTCTGAGGTGACAGTACTAGGACACAAGACCAGGTCCTGAGGTCAAAGCTTTGTGAATGGGATCTGTGCCCCCCGAGGCTGCAGTGAACAGGGCTGCCTGTGAGGAAGGCACACTCACCAGACACCCACCTGCAGGCGCCTGGACCTCAGCTTCCAGCACCACAACTGTGAGCAGCAGACGCCTGTTGTTCCCAATCTACTCCACAGATGGCACTGTGTTTACAGCAGCCCAAGGGCAGACAACTCTGACACCCAGAGCAGTGCCCACTCACCAGCAGCGCTCAAGACACAGACGCTAAAGAATAGCTGTAGTCGTGCCCACTATGGATAAATATTTTTATTTCCTACTCACATGTGACATTCGCAGCACAGGAACTCAAAATCTCAGGAGGACACGGAGGTGTCCGGTGTGCTCAGGGACACAAGTCTGGGTTCCCAGGGAACTCACCCACATCTCCTGCCAGGGTGGCCCGGCTTCCTCTACAGGACTGCTGGCCACCTCAACCCCCAGCATTAGGGAAAACCAGCAAGGACTTGATGGTACCATACGGCAGCCCCCTGCTCTGACAATGCGACATAAGTCAGCCAATGCCAGAGCCCACAGCAGCCGCAGAGCTGGACTCGCCTCGCCGCACAGCCACTGTGCCACGCTAAACAAAGGGCACGAGGCCCTGAACATGGAGTCACTGCAGACACAGAGACTCTTAACCATTAAAATGAAGAATCCATAAAACAACCTCTCAAAACTCTGCCTGGTGTGACAAGCAGCAAAGGTAACAGTGAAAAGTACAGCATTAACATATTTAAAAGCAAGCCAGGCTCACCTACCATCAGTACAATGAGTTCACACATGAGCCCCAAAGTTACCTAAAAGCAGAAAATGTTACTGACAAAGGATTAAGAACGTAATTTCACTGAGAAGCCAGCATGAAGCAGTTCATTAAAAGTTTTGTTAAAAATAAATCATCCCACACCACTTCCTGCTCCTGCTGTGCTCAGCGCCGGCCACTAAAGAGGGAACCCAGTGCCGCCACCAGCACAGAGCTCCCGGTGACAGTGGCGGTGGAAGATGCACCCAGTGGCTTGGGGGAGGTGGAGTACTGGATGAGGTACTCAGGGTAGGCCTGGTGCTTCTCGAAGACCACGAAGATGCTTGGGTCGGACACACTGTTCACACAGCTGTCGTAGAAGGCATTGCTCTGCCCTTCCTTGGCAGGGGGGCGGACCAACGATGGGTTACCCCTGACGAAGTCACCCACTAGCACCCGGGCCAGGAACATCATCTGGAGGTGGGTGTCGGACTTGCTGTAGTGGTGGGAATATGCAGCATCACGGGCGAAGTAGCTCCCTGAAACGACACGCACAGGCTCTGCTGGGCACTGGAAGGACAGAACAGCAGCCAGACAGGACAGGTAGACACTTCTGCTGGGCAGGGACCTGACAAAAGGTGACCAGCAGCCTCTGCTCTCTCATTCTGCTTCCCCACAGAGGAGTGTCAGTGTTACCAACACCCTTCTGGGTTTTTTTTGTTTTTGGTTTTTTGAGACAGGGTCTCACTATGTAGTTGAGACTGACCTGGAACTCGCTATGTAGCCCAGGTTGGTCTCAAACTCACAGCGATCCTCCTGCCCCGGCCTCCTGAGTATCAGTATTACAGGTGTGTGCCACCACACCCGGCTGCCAACACCCTTCTGTCTGGCAGCAGAGGAGTCCCTACACCTCAGGAAGGAGGCCCCTCAGTGCTGAATCCATCAGCAACCTCCACTTCTTCACCTGAGTCTCAGTTTCCTCAGCTGTAACATGGGGCCGCTCCACCAAGCTCAAAGGATCAGTGCAGAGAGTGAACCAGAGTCTGCTCACAGTCATTCTGTGGCACCAGCAGCCAAGTGTGCAGAACTCTGAAACTTCTCACGAGAGGACTGGGGCTGCAACTTGCCACTGTGCACTGGTAGTCACACACACACACACACACACACACACACGCACACGCACACACACACACCCTGCCCCAGCTCTTGTCCCTCCTGACCCAACTGTCACCCATCAGACAGAAACCACCTGATGGACCATCAACCAGGATATGAATGGCAGGTTATGACTTCTCTACCTGTGATGGTCACACTGGCTAGAGAGGAAGTGTTACAGGATGAAGGGACACCATATATGCCACCTCCTAGCAAAGGCTCACAAAAAAGTGCAGATGATCAAGCCAGCACGGTACAATGGTAAGCTGACAAACACAGATAAAATGCATGCAGTCAATTTAGATGTGATTATTTTTGCAATTCTGTTTGCAATTATTTCCAAAGAAAGCTTAAAGTAACAGAGGAAAACAGATGACTCATATAACAGGTAGAATGATATCTACATGAGCGCCTTTAAGATGCTCAAGTCTCTATTCTAAGAACATCTGAAGGTGCAGTCTGGGGAACTCATGGGGTCTAGGAAGGTGGCCCCTCTCCTCTTCCAAATCTGCCCCACTTCCCTGGGCCTCCATCCCAGGGCTGCCACGCCTCAGACTGAAGCAACATCAGGGTCTTGCCAAGGGCAGCCCCTCAGAGAACAGGTGCTCCCAAGGGCCAGCATGGTAGGGCCAGGAGCCTCGTCACCTTACCTTTGCCATAGGAGGTGCCATGAAGACCACAGATGCGCCAGTCAAAGTTCTGCTGGCAGATGGCGTCAACGAAGGTGGAGGCAGTGCCATGGAACAGCTGCCGCTCGTCTACCTCCTTCCCCTCGTTTTGCTTCTGCATCTGCCCCTTTTGCCTAGAATTGTAAGGCACATGTTGAGGACAGGATGCTGGCCACCAAGCCCAGCTCACTGGACCCACAAAAGTGCATTCTGCTAAAAGAACAGAAGCATTACATGGCCAGGAGGTTAGGCCCCAGAGGCTGCAGCCAAAGGCCAGGAATAGGGAAACAGCCCTAAAAAGCAGAAGGGCTGCTTCCCCTCTGTCTCCCAGACAGACCAGCCCTGGGAAGTGGCCAGCCCACTCCCTGCTCCTGAGCAACCCAGTCCTGGGGAGCCTCAGGTCTGCTGCTCAGTGGGGCCTTGCTCACTCCCCACTACTGGGACCAACTATGTCACTGTACCCTGTTGCCAGGGGACAAGTGCCAGAGCCCGAGAACACACAGGCCTCACACACTGAGCCAGGACCCTACTCCCTGGCCTCAGCCTTACTCCTGCGGCTGACAGTACAGGAAGGCTGTCCTACCCTGTCCCACCCCATCCACCTTTAGCGGGGCAAGATGGACAAGGGTAGAGGCTGACCTGGCTACCAGTCGTGAGGAACAACCTAAATTCAGGAAGCCTCAGTCCCCTCAACTCTACAATGGTCTGTGCCACCACACAGCCCTGAGGAGCGGGGGGCAGAGGGGGAGGAAAGGGAGGAAGGTGAAGAGCAGACGCACAGATCCTGGCTAAACAGGGCTGTGGTCTCTAGTTTCCTGGAGGCCCAGGGCATGCTGGTGAGCAGGTGGAAGGGTAAGGGGACAGAGCAGCCAGCCCACCCACAGCCAGCCCAAACGCACCACTGGTAGACTTCCCACAGGGCCAGGTTCTGAACTCGTTCTATCTTCTGAACAAAGCAGTAAGGCAGTGTACGGTTGAAGAGGCTCCAGATTTTCTGATACTCTTCCGAGGAAGAATTGAGAGTGATTTTCTACAAAGGGAGAATGTCTTTAATATGTTGTCATCCATGTACAGAATACAGATGAATCCTTTCCTCTTCCCATGATGACTGGAAACTGCCAGGACACGGAAGCAAGAAAGCCAGAGAGTGGGGACCACACTCACCTTCCATCAAGATATAGTCTCTCCTGGCTTGGGATTTTAAAAAATTATAGTTATTTCCCTCATGTTCGCTATGAAGCCAGCCTAAAGGACAGGCATGGGATGCCTAATATGTCACTCCTAGCTGTCTCCAGGGTGCCCCCCACTCTTGCTTTTGGGCCTTTAATAATGTATAAAAGGACTGACCACACAGGGCGGTGTACAAGAGCCAGTGTCGTAAGGGAACCCATACCCACCTCACCCCAACCCCTCACACACACAGTTGTGCTGCTGGATTTGCACATGCTTGGACGAGCAGGATAGGGCTCACGGTATGGAAGGGTGCCCGGGCAGGCAGGGTGGGCAGGACCTGAGTGTGCACGCTCCACAGTGCTCAGCCTGGCTCCCATCGGATAGCCAGCGCTGCCTAAGCCATACAACTGTCCTCCTGTCTTCTCCGGTCTAGCAGTCTCCTCTGCTAACTGCCCTCATCACACTCCGATCCTCGACCAGTTTGTTTTCCCTTTCTTGTTTAGTAAGACTGATTTTTACAGGCTAAGCGTGGCTCCTAAGCCCCTCATTTCTGACCTTCCCCGCAAACTTCAGTCCATCCTCCTCCTTGCACACTACATCCTCCCCTCAAGCCACAGCCATCTCCTGGGCAGTCATCAGGCCTTAAATTCTGTCCCCGTATGCCACAGCCACTAAGCACCATCTGTCTGCCACACCTATCCCTACAGACCCCTGCCATCCAGCCCCAAACAGAGTCCCTTACCGTAAAGCCTGGGTCCGGCAGGGCAGAGGGGTCCCAATAGTCTGGGATGCTCTTTGGGCCTTGAAACTTGACACTGCTGCAAAATATAAACAGAACCACTAAAGCACTTTATCCTGGAGGTAAGCAAGTCTACCCTAGGAAGTTTCCACTATGCTATGTTAAAAGGCAGAGGAAGGCAAGAAGCACACAAACACTGCATCCACAACACAATAATATTCTTTTGCGGGGGAGTGGTTGACACAGTGTTTTTTTCTGTAGTTCAGGCTGGCCTTGAACTCACTATGGAGCCCAGATTAGCCTCCAACTCACAGATCCTCCTGCCTCAGCCTCCTGAGTGCTGGGATTACAAGCGTGTGCCACCAGGCCCAGCAAGAACACTTTTATCTTTACCTTCATGGCCAAACACACAGCAATCAGTCCTAGGAATGCCTTCCCATCTTGCCCCAACTAACCCAGAAGGAACAGAGCCCATAAGGAAAATAGCACATGTAGGCCACAGGCTTGAACTTAAAATCCAAAGACTTTTTTAAAAAGTTGTGTAACTAGGGGCTGGGGATTTAGCTCAGTGGTTCCACCGCCTGCCTTGCAAGCACAAGGATCTGAGTTCAATCCCCGGCACCAAAACAATAAAAAATAAAAGTTGTGTAACTGACATACAAAAGCTGAGGGGGATATTGAGGAATGAATTCAGGGACACTCGACCACTGAGCTGCATCCCAGCCAGTCTTTTTTTTTTTTTTTTTTTAACTTTTTAAGACAGGGTCTTGCTAAGTTGCCTAGGCAAGACTCAAACTTGCAATCCTCCTGCCTCAGCCTTCTGAGTACGTGGGATTTTTAAAAGTGTGCACCACTGCATCCAGTTTATAAAAACATGTTTTAAAAACCAAAATGGACACCAAAACCCATTTGGTAGTAGAAATCTAACTTGAACTGAAGTCTATAGATCAATCATCCTTCTTAAAGTGATGGTAAGTATATTTTACTGCAACAATATTAATGAACTAAATTACAGGGTGTTGCATAACACAGGTGCCACATAACTCATCCAAAAATAATAAAATAAAAGCAGTTCTAAAAGACATAGGCCCCTCAAGGTTTAGGAAAGCACTGTGAAACTGCTTCTGAACAATTCCCCTTATGTCTCAGAAGGCACTGTGCTCCCCACAACCGCTTTCCCTGCTGTTCCTGCTGGCCCATAGCCACATCTTCATACTAAGCTAGGTTTCACAGATAACCTTCCCAGGGAAACTATACCATGGACAGTTAACCAGCAAGGTCTCCCAGCAGGGAGCAGCCAGAAACAGATCCACCATGACTTAGGCTGACAAAATCATATTACAAAACAACAGTTATTCTTCCTATGTTTAAAGAAATGAAAAGCAAACTTTAAATCATGTGCAAGGAAACTATAAAAAAATTGGAAGATCTAAACAGAACTTTTAAAAATGAAAAGGGGAATCCTTGACAGCAAAAGCTCCAAAGAATTGCTAAACAGCAGATGAGACCATTGGAACAGAGAAGATGCAGCTGAAAGTGTGAAATGACCGTCTTAAGAATGTGGCCCACAGTAAGAGACAATGGGAGATGAAGAAGCATGTGGAGCTTGCAGGAATCTGGCCCAGAACTAAGAGAAGCTCCCGATGGGGAAGAAAAAGTAGCACTGTGACACACACTGGGCACAGGTTTGAGAAACACTGAGAATCTCAGGCAGGATATAAACACACACCTAGACACAGCACGGTGAGGGGGCACACCCCAAGACAAACAGGAGTGCTTAAAATCAACCAGAAAAAGCCATGATTACCATCAAAGAAGCACCAGTCAGACCAACAGACAGTTTCTCAAAAGCAACAAAAAAACAAAAGACACTGGAGTGGTGCCTTCAGTGGTCCAGGACAAAATAACTATAAACTAAAGATTTATACCCAGTGAAAATATATCTTAAGAGCAAAAAAAAATAAAGATACAGTCAGACAAATCAAAAACAGTCTTCCAATAGTCTTTCATCTAAGGAAATTTGAAAGAATAAAGAATGAGGCAGAAATGTAATTTCAAGGCAGCATTAACAATATAAAATAATGGTGCCTCTGGAGGCTAAAATTTAAAAGGAATGAGGAAGGTAAATGGAAAAAAGTATAGAAATGCCCTATATTAGTTAATGGGAGGGCAAAGATACTGACTTACTTGTACCTAAATGAAGAACACATGTAGTTTCTAGTAGAACCTTTTTTAAAAAAACAGTAATACACTAAAATCTCCAAACTGTTAGAAAATAGGATTTAAAAATCCAAAAGGTAGGAAAAGAAAAATAATCAATCACATAAAATTTTTATGGGCCTGGGATTTAGCTCACTGCTTCCAGTGCCTGCCTCACAGTGCAAGGGCCGGAGTTCAACCCCCAGTACAAAAAAAAAGGTTCAAGAAAAAGGGAGCCAGCTATCAAGATCAACCAATAATAGGACCGGGGATTTAGCTCAGTGGTCCCACCGCCTGCCTTGCAAGCACAAGGTCCTGAGTTGGATCCCTGGTACAAAACAAAACAAAACAAAAGAGATAAGTTCAGAGAAAATTTTTATGGAAGGCAGAAATTAAAGAACCAACCCAGATACTTAATGTATATAGATGCTGTTTCAAACTGTATTTCAGATGACAATCCTGTATTACCTTCTGATTATGGAGACTACATTCTGTTGTGCAACTAGAGGTATTTTGGAAAGAGGCCCACATCACAGCTCCTGTCAGCCCCGAGGGCCCATGCAGGCAATGCAGCCTTTGTCACTGGAGTTAATGACAACTGGCTGCCATCAAACAGCTGAAGGAACAATGGGCACTTGACCTATGTGGGCAGCATACAGTACTCAGCCCACAGCGGAGGAAGTTAACCATACCTCAGTCTGTGTTGACCAAAACCATCACTTTTATTTCTGACATTTGCTGTCTACTTGTGGCCCCCAAAAAACTAAATTAGAATGATGACATAAGAGATCCAGTCTCAGGCTGGAGATTTAGCTCAGTGGCACCATGCCTGACTGGCAAGGGCAAGGTCCTGAGTTCAATTCCTAGTGGTGTGGGATGGGGGAATCCAGTCCCAAAAAAAGGGGAAGTTTTCCAAACCTGGCCTTAGACAGGCTTTGGAGAGAGGAAGAATAAAAAATAACTTCTAGAAGACAGTTAAAATCAACCCAAACTCTATATCCAGAAGCAATAAAGAGACTGGCCCTCTCCCACCTGGAGCCACCATCACTCCAGCATCAGGAAGGTAGCCGCACAGGCGCCCCTGAACCGCCATAACTCCCTTTACCCCCTCCACACACACTCTCAGACCTTCTGATTGTGCCAGCCTTTGGACCCACTCTGCAGAGGCAGAGGTGGTCATAAAGGGTATTTTTCTGAGTTCCCAACTTTGAACATCTTTAAAGAAAGGGCATGGGAAACCTGTAGTAGAACGGTGTAGAGTTCAACTGTTCAGAAGGTAGGGGAACTCAGTCTGGGCCTTGCAGCCCGAGGTCAGTCTGCATCATGGGGTTCAGCCATCAGCTAACTGAGATCAGGGGTCTTGCATCCT